CCCGATTGTTTTCTTTTCCCCTAAATTTAATATTTCATTCACCTTCTCACTTGATGATTCCGTAGCCGTTGTAGTCTACATAAACGTTCCTCTGTGAATATACAAAACTATAATGTTTTTTGTTAGAGGAAAATAATATAAAATGTCACTTTGAATGATATGTTTTATTTTGTTGTCACGGTATTAGCTTGTAGGGACACAAGGTTTTTATGACATCACGAGCCACCCGAGCCGCAAGGGTTTTGTTTTCGTTGGGTGGACCTATGGACCTGTGGCCCACGAATTAATGAAGGATATAGAGTGATGATGCAAGTATCTAGAATACTTGATGTCTAAAGATATCCAAGACCAAAAGATATAGTGGGTGATTGGTTGGGTTGTATTTGTAGGTTAATTGCTATAGAATTTGAGTTGTAGACATTTTGACTGTAGCTGTAGAATTTGGGTTGTAGACATTTTTGCTGTAGCTGGAGAATTTAGGCTGTAGATATATTTGTTGTAGCTGTAGAATTTTGTTGTAACTATCTTAAAACTAATGAATGATTGATACGTATTAGATATATAGAATAATTATCTATTAGTTGACAAAAAAATTATAGTTGTTTATCATATAAATTTTTCAAAATAAAATAAATTATATTTGTAGAGTAATATAGATGGAAAAAATATTTAAAAATGCTACATCTATATATACAATATTATTTTATATGAATAGTAGTGTGTATTATTTCTGTATAGATAATGAAATTAATACAATAGGTATATATATAATATTACAACAGAGTAATATATATTAAGTGACCCAATAACGTTAAATATATTGACTCAGCAACGAACCAATTTCAATTAATCAATACAAAGAACTTGGTTTTAACCCTCGTATTGTGTATATATACTAGATGAAGGACCCGCATATATGCGGATTTGTTATTTAATATTTTATAAAACTATAGAAAATAAAATATTTAATTGTGATGAACAAAATTAGATCATCCGTTAATATAAATAAAATCAAAATAAGAATGTTACTGCAAAACCATTGATCGAGAAGAATATTATTTATTTATTAATTTTTATGTTTTTATTTGATTTACAATTAAATTTTATCACATCTTTTGAAATTATTAATTTTTCTTAGTCCTATTTTAATTTGGTAATTTTTTTTACTTTTAATCTTATTTTACTATTCAAATATCTACTTTTGAAAATAATGATGGATTATTTCTCATATTTATATTTGAACTATTTTTACTTTTAAATATTTATAACTTGCAAAAAATCAAAGACGAAAAGACAAAAGACAAAATTAAATCACTCTATTTAAATAATAAAATAAGATTGAAAACGTTATTATAAAATCATTCATAGAGAAGTGTATCAAATATTTATCTATTGTATTCTTATATTTTTTATATTGTTTGATTTTCAACCAAATTGTATCACATAGATTTAAATAGTTAAATATTTCTAATCCTATTTAAAGTAGGATTACATTTTACGATTTACCAAATCAATATATTATTTTAAATAGATAAATCTTTTGAAATGTGGCTAAATCTAATTAAAAATATATATTTTATACTTGTATAAATCTAACCGATTAACTCAAACATGCCTCGATTAGATTAATTATCTTGTATAAAAATCCGAATTTGCAAAATAAATTACTTTTACTGTTTTAACAATTATTAAACGTAAAAAAACCAAACAAAAAGTGGAAAAATAAATTACTACACCTCATATCAATGTTATCAACAAGAAACAAAAAATCGAGTTAAAATGAATCATATTAAGCTCAGAAAATAATATATATTTTCGTATTCTATTGCACATATCGAAAAATATAATAATCGATATTTTCTGATTAAAAACAAAAAAAAAATTTATGAAAAATATTATTGATGTTTTAAGAGCACAAAAGTATGTGAATAAATGTAGAAATTTGGATATTTAAACTTAAATCTATTCAAACTCAAAAAAAGTTACATGAGTATTATATTATCTGAGTAGGAAAAGATATTTGATTTATTGTTTTATCTATTTATATT